AACGAGGTTTAATAAGCAGAGCAAGAACAGGCTTTTTTCCGATTAAGACATGTGGGAAATGCCAATATTATTTGAGTTTTAGGATCATTCTTTGGACATGTATACAACACGTTTGGAATATGTGGCTCAAATGGGCTTTTAATTAAACGTATTAGTAAAACACTAATCGGTTGTACATGGTTTTAGTGAGAAAACCTGTTCTACAAATACAAAGCCTCATGACACAAGAGGTATTGTATTCATGTTGTGGTACAAATGTCTTTTCCTTGCGTCTTAGGAAACCAAGCGAGGAGAGGAGGAAGGAGGAAATCTGTTTTTAGAGACATGAAGCGTCACGTGAAGCGACATCTGTTTCAGCTGGATCGGCTGTCAGCCGGCTCTAACAGCTGTAGAGACTTTTGAGCAGCAGGATCCTCTCTGTCGCTGTTACCTGGTTAACAAACACCTGCGCATGAAGAATTACAGGTTACTGTATGTCCTGCTCACAGGATCATTTCTACTGGCACAATGCTGATATTGTCTGCTTTCATATTTATTGATTCTGATTGTGAATTTGTTGTTGAATAACCCAGAATATGATCATGGGGTCTTTGGATTTATTAGACTAAATGTTTCAGGGAAATTGAAATGATGGAACTCATATCTAAGTCTGCTTTAGCTCAGTTTTAGGCTTTCACTTTATTTCCTCTTCTGATATGCTTTAACACTACTGCATACATTTTATTTGCAAGTCACATAACTCGTCACCGATCGATCACTGCGTTCCATCATATCAATCCAACAAAGCAGCTTTCATTCATTCTTTCATCAGCTGATTTTACTCACGGAGCGGCCGGCTGCTTCCATCAGATGCAGTCGGTGAGATGGCTGGATGTGCAGGCTTTATTTTCCTTTGCTTGCTTCATTAGAGACTTTGTGCAGTTTAGTGGCTGACTCCTTATGGGCCTTTCAGAGAGACTGCGATGACCGCACTGCTGCGCTGTGAAACCCATTATTTTCATTTTAATTATTTTTTCATTGGCTTGCACCACGCCACGCCGGTTCGTTGTTGCGTCGAGCAAAGCGCACTACTCTGCAAATCACTTCCTATCTGAAAGGGCCATTAGGCTACGTGTTTTCTATGTTTTATTGTCGTCTATTTGGACTAAACAGGAATGAGCAGCCTCACATGTGACTGAATAGAAATGACGATAAACGATGGAAAAAGGGTTTCTCACAGACAGACTCTCCGACTCTCTCTGACTTTAATTGTCTCCATAATAAAAGTAAAAGAAATAAAAATCTTTCTAATAAATGGAGAAAGTTTGTTGTTCAGACCTACAATGAACTTTTAAATCTTTGGGACGGTCTGCAAGATGGCAGAGCGGAACAACGTCCAGTTCAAGCGAGGAGCGAGTAAACGACAAATAAGAGACTGGAGAAGCTCCCAATGACAAATAAATCTTTGGAACTGACTGCTGCACACATTTGCCCAGGAGGTGGCAGTATTGTACTGTGAGGCACTATTCTGACTAGTTCTTCTAGGAAATGTGTGTTTAGCACAAAGTCACTGAAAAGGCATTGGAAAAGTAAGTATACTGCTAAACAACGGCCTGCTTTGCTTGAGGACAAGATGTGGCCTGATGAGTTACAGACATTTGCAATAGATTCTGTCAAAATAGCCAAAACCTGAGAAGAATCACCAGCTTGTGTCTGTATTTTGTGACATATTTCTTTTTATTAACACGAGGCCTTCATAATGCTTGTCACACTTGGTAATGACAACACTTTGTATTTTTTGTCATTTTGTTAGATTTTGGCCCAAGACGGACGTCCATTTTAGTCCAATTCATTCCCAATACAGACAAAAAACCTGTAAAGTGAATGTAGCCAAAATTGCAGCAACTCTCTTTGTGTCCTAAATAATGACCACGAGCGATGGACCTGATTTAGTCCAAGATAGAAGGAAAGGACACATTTTGCAGAACATTTGAACTTAAGTACATTTTGTTGAAAGTACTATATAAACTATATTTATGTATTACTTTACGTAGACCAAAACATTTTAATATGGTTTAAAGTAGGGCTGGGTGATATGGACCAAAAAGTCACATCCCGGTACCGTTAGGCCGAATACCGGTATAGATTATATATCGTCTCTCCCTCCCTGTATCGCTCCGGTGACTTTCTCCATCAGTACTAGGCTACGTTACATCAAGCCGCCGAATAAAATCAGAACTTTTCCACCCGCGATTCTGATCACAACAGCAGCTGCACTGCATGTTAAGGAGGCGTGTTGACAACGCAGCCTTTCAAAACAAAACCAACGTGGTAGCTAACAAATGACTCCTCACTGGTGTGTTCACTGTCGCTTTGCCTGGTCCGTGCTTGTAAAATATACATCATGTCGGTCGGGACTTGTAACGTAATAACTGATTTTCTCTGAAAAATGCTACAATGTGTCGCCAAATACACCTGGGTGGTCGTTAATATACCTGGGGGACCTGCCGAAGTAAAGTATATGGACTGAAGCGTTTTTCTTTTTACAAGCCAGGTCTTCAGCACTGTGTTTCCCTCCATGGTGTTAGAGAGTTTGTGAGTAGACGGCTGCGTGCAGATGCAGAGGGAGGGGCGGGGCTGCGCGGTGAGGGAGAAGATGAGCAAATGCTGGCAGGACGTTATGGAAACATAATAATTAACTCATCATCAAACTATATCATATAAACGGTATTGTCTAATTTTATATCTCTTTTGAAATGATATCGGTATACCTCATTATACCAATATAACACCCAGCCCTAGTTTAAATAGATGGAACCAGGTCCCAGCATGCAACACAGAGTGACGTATGTCGCTAAGCACCTTCACATTTCCTTTAGCAAAAGTGCATCATAGACAAATATCTTAATCTCTCCAATACTGACAGCAGAACCGACAACATCTGAAGAAATGAAGAAATCAAAAAGTTGTCTTTGTGATATTTATTAAAAGTAAGAATGATTCAGCTGAAGGGCAGAGCTCATATACCAGAAGGCCATTAGAGAATCTGATCCAGAGAAACAGATAAGACATTTAATGCTAGAGAATAATTGTGGAGTCTATGAGAAAAGCCTTTCAGCCTTGAGCCACAGTGGAAACTCCTTTCTCACAGAAAAGGATAACACAGAACAATCTTACATCAAACACTGGTACACTTAGTGGAAATTATAACACCACATAAGATGAGCAAAGTACATAAGGTAATGACCAAGCGGAAACCTCCGGCTCTCAATTCCGATACCAACGCGGAAGTATCTGAAACTGCAATTCATCGAGTGGCCACTTGAGGCTGGCTGCAGAAGGGAGTCAATCTCCATTGACCCCCATGTTAAAAAGCCCAACTTTACAGCAGAATAAAACGTGTTTACAGCCTGGTTCAAAAAATGGTTTTAGTGCATATCGCTAAGTTTGTCCTTCGTGACAACTGTGAGGGGTGTGAATTTTTTTATAACTCACCTGTTTAAATTATAGTAAGCCTTAAAGTTCTGCATTATTAGGGGCATGGCCGCTTTGATTGACAGGCGCTATTAGCCGCTGCCACTGTTAGCACTCGGTCCGCCGTCTGTTAGCCTCACTCAGCTACACGGAGCTCTGAGGCTCAGCCTGTCGGAGCCTTTTGGACATTTCTACATGCAGATACCGGATGAATAATGACAGGCTGTGCAGTTCATTGGAGAGAGAACCTCTAGGATATCCGTGTTCTACTTGGTGAGTGAAATTCCTGTATTTTATTTATGTGTTTACATTTAACAGGTATCGCTGTCGGCATATAGCTTGTTAGCTTAACGTTAGCTCGTAACGCTAATTAGCCAGATACGAGCAGCCCCAAGCTGCTAAGTTAGTGTTAGTAAGTAAGTTAGTGTGTTCTAACCGCAGCTTTTAATGAGTCAAAGACAAGTCAGCAAGAAGGGAGAAGCCAAAATGTAATGTTATTAGATTAACTTTTGTATTAGACATTAGTGTGATAATGCTTTGAAGAAAAGGCGTCTGTGTGAAGTTGTGAGTGAAGGCTCAGCTCTCAGTTGCTGACGTTATGTTAACAGTAACTTTTACTAACAGGTGATTTGAGATTTAGCTACGTCCTGTAACGGAGTCACTGTTCAGGTAGATACTAGTCAGATACTATTATAAGTGGCTGCACCTGATCGCGATGGACACCAAGGCTTTAAAGGCAGAGAGCCGAGGGGGGATCGGCTGCAGAGTTCTGCCTGAAACTGTCACACTGAGGAGCACCGATGCCAATATTTGAGCTAGCTGTCTCTCTCGAGGAGAGCCGTGCTCCAAGTGTCACGTTACTGTTTAAGAACGATAACGTTATACTATTCTTTGTGGGGTTCATCAGTGGGGATGATTGATTCAAAGTATATATTAAATGCAGTTTAGAGTCATCAATAAGTTATTACACATCCTTGAGATTCAGCAAACACTCTGAGGTGATAACTGCGTTTGATCAGCGACGATTCTGATAAGCTGTGGATGCATAATTCCTGCAGAGATTTGCATCCACCTTTTTTACCAGCATATAATGCGCGATGGTTTAGTTAAGACGAGAAATTAGGTGTGTGTGAGCCGCCTCTGAGTTTGTTTGGTGGGTTAGAATTTGCAGCACACTGTCCAGCAGAAAACCGTATATTGCACATATTAGGAAACGGTGTATTTCACATTGCCACCCCTAATTACTGTCACATGCCAGAGGTTATCATTCATGCTGAGGCGATCTCAGAGTTCAGTAGCTTTATGGCTCTTTGGAAGAAGCTGCTTAACTGTCTACCCATTGTTGTCTTTACAGGTGCCAGAGGAGCTGATTGCAGAACCCTCCAGATGTGATTAGCTGTGTCCAGCTCTTCAGGAGAGAACAGCTCCAGCTTCCAGCTCTTCAGCTCCCGCTTTTCTTTTTACTCAACACCTGAACATTGCTGATGTGAAATTATGACACTGGGTTCTTATCAACAGATTCTATCATTATAATAACTCTCAACACATTTCGTATTTCATATATTTATACAACACATTAATTATAAGGACACATTAACTGTTACAAAAAGTACAAACAACCCACAGAGGAGATGGTGCAGGGGCCATGTTGACAGCTTGTCTGCTTCTTGAAGAATCAAAGAGAATGAGTCTGAACTCAAGCCTCACATACTACCTCTTTGTTGGAGCTTTGGACCACATCCCATGGTCTTCTTAAAGAGTTTCCACAGCCTCAAATGACTATTTCAGCCGATAACCAATGTGTTTGGGTATTTAGTAGTGTTGGCTCTCCAGTGTGAACACGTTGGTGCTTTTTTAGGTTACCTGATGTAGTGAAAGTTTTTCCACACTGTTCACAGCTGTACGGTTTCTCTCCAGTGTGAACACGTTGGTGGATTTGAAGTTCACCTGATCTACTGAAAGTTTTTCCACACTGTTCACAGCTGTACGGTTTCTCTCCGGTGTGAACACGTTGGTGAATTTGAAGTTTACCTGATTACCTGTTTTCCCACACTGTTCACAGCTGTACGGTTTCTCTCCAGTGTGAACTCTGATGAATCTTTAAATATCCAGATGTTGTGAAGGATTTGTCAGTGCTGACAGCGGTGACGTTTCAGTCCATCTCTTCTTCTCTATATCAACAGAGAGAAACACAGTAAGTGAGATGTCATGGTGGAGTGAGCTATCTAAAACCATAAATGATATTAGAGCACATCTTTTAAATCACATACTAACCTACTGTACCAAATAGTGAGTATGTAGTCTATTACATACAGTCATACACACTTAGTTTGTACTGCATACTAAAGAGATGATCAGTATGCTATTACCATGTTTACCCGACTGTTCACACTGAAGTACTCAAGCAAATTGCGTAAAGGCCACGTTTGATCTACAGAAGAATAAGGAATTAAGGTAAAACTAGAAATGTACATTTCCTGTAGAAAGTGTGTAAATGCAGACATCTGGAATTATTTTGAAAGTATTGCAGGAAGTGCACAAAAGAGAAGAATTTCCTGGAAATTTGCAGTATTGCGAGTTGGAAAAGTCAAATAGGAAATTGAATCTCCTTAAAGAGCACACTTTTACATTTTAACTGTTTCTTTGGCTGAAAGTACGCAGAAGTAGTCAACCAGAAACAACAGAAGAAGAATGAATCATATTGCATTTGTAAGGATGATAAAAATGCTTTAATACTGAATTGATTGAATGGAGATTAAATATATATATATATAAAACATTGAAAACAGGTAACTGATTTTAGGTAGGACCATCATTTTTATGGGGAGACTCTTCCCATGAGTGATATGGGCAATGATGTCCATCGTACAAGGTCATACTCTATTGATTTAAGTAGAGGCGTGTAGTTTAGCCATGTCAGTTGGACAGCCTGGAGGAAATATTGACACCCAGATATTTAATATTCCCTGACTTTAGCGGTGCGGTAGATATACTCTGGAAATCACACATTACAGGTAAAACTATTCAATTAATGGAGTAGTCTGAGCTGGATGAGAATGCATCTATTCTAAGTGTGATTGTCTCAGAAAAAGAAGTTTGTGAGTTTAGGAGGAAAAGTAATACATCATCTGCATAAAGGCTTATCTTGTGGTGTACACTTTCTGTTTGAATTCCTTTAATATTTTTATTTTGCCTGATAGCAGATTATTCTATAGTTCTATAAAATAGCGAATAGCAAGGGGGAGAGTGGGCAACCCTGCCTGGTACCCCTCTGAAGACTAAAGCTTGGAGAGGTATGATCATTTGTCCGGACAGAAGTTCTTGAATAACTGTATAAGATTTTAATCCAGTCTAAGAATTTCCAAATCCAAATTTATGTAAAGTAGCAAATGGAAGGTTATGAATAGTGGCATAGTCTATTACATTAAGTAGCCTTTGTGTATTGTTGGTGGAGTGCCTGCCCTTAATAATCCCGGTCTGGTCGGGGTGTATTATACCGGGAGTGACCTTCTCCAGCCTTCTGGCTAGGGCTTTGCAGATTTTACGATCTGCGTTAATTAGTGATATTGGACGATAACTGGTCGGGAGTGTGGGATCTTTGTCTGGTTTAATGAGAAGGTTGATATTAGCAGAGTTCATTGTTGGAGGAAACATACAACTACCCCTAATTTGCATAACCATCCTATAGAATGTGGGCTTAAGTATTTCCCAGAATTCCTTGTAGAATTCAGTAGGAAAACCATCTGGCCCAGGGGCTTTATAATTCGGCTTCTGTAAAAGGGCTTCCTGGAGTTCAGCCATTGAAACAGGTGAATCCAGAACCCTGATCTGTTCATCCAACCTTGGCAAATCTATATTGTTCAGAAATGCATCGACATTAAGCTAGGTGGATCAATCTGTGATGTATATAAGTTTATAAAAATCTCTAAATGCATTGTTTATTTCTTCTGGGTTGTGAGTCATATTGCCAGCTGAGTGAGTTATTTTTTCTTTATTCAATTTAAATTGGTTGGCTAAGAATCTGCTGAATTTATTGCCATGTTCAAAGTTCTCCAAGTCTAGTCTTTGTAACTCTTTATCAATAATTTCATTTAATTCAAGTTTTAATTTTCACAGATCATTCAGCATGTGTTCCTTTGGGGAGGCAGCATGGGCAGCTTCTAATGTTTTTATTTTTTGTTCTAGCTCTAATTCACAACATCTGTCTGAGATTATTTTACCTCTCATGACTGCTTTTGCTGCCTCCCAAAGAAGACACAGTGAAATTCCTGGCAGTTCATTAGTTTCTATATATATTGCCCATTTCTTGAAATAACTATATTCTCTAAGAGTGGGGGTGGTGAGAACGCCAAACATGTTTAAGGGTTTCTGTTGATTTCCAAATAGGGTGACTGCCTGCCGTACTGAGCCTGTCGCCTGCTGGATTACATACCAGGTTGAAGTCCCCTCCTAATGTAAGAGCTGTGTCTGAGCGAGCAGAGAGTGAGGTGAAGAAAGCATGAAAAAAGTTTCTTTTTATTATATTGTTTCTTTTCAAATAAAAATATGAGTTTAAGCATGCCACCTGCATCATCAATGCAGTAGCTGTACATTATGGTTCATTGCTGCAACACATCCTCATACCTAAATGACAAAATAGGGTTATTGTCAAGTGTCCATACTGCATATGGCCGTTGGAAAGTCAAATGTAAAATGTAAATGCTCCGTACTTGTATAGCGCCTTTCTAGTCTTTTCGACCACTCAAAGCTCTTTTACACTACATCTGCATTCACCAGTCACACACATTCATACACTGAGCCTAAGTGCTCAAACGGAAACTAACATTCACACTCATTCGTACACTGGTGGAACAGCCGCCAGGGGCAATTCGGGGTTCAGTATCTTGCCCAAGGACACTTCGACACGCAATCAGGGGGAGCCAGGCATTGAACCTTCCGATTAACGGCCAACCCGCTCTACCTCCTGAGCCACAGCCGCCCCGGTAAGTCAAACGACACATTTGACTGTAACCCACAACAATACACATGCACATTTCCAGTATCAGCACAGAGAGGCTGCTGATCGGCCGGTGTCGTGCCAAGGTAGTTACCAAAGATAGGAGGTGTTCCTGACAGTTGGAGTGCATGCATTCAGCGGTGAAGGAACTTCAACAAAGTAACTGAAAAATAGAACATGTGGATTGTTTATTTATCCTTTTAGTATTGTTGTTTTATCAAAAAGGTTTTGCAAAGCAAGCTAATGCATGGCTTCCAGATTTACATTTACATTATGTTGAACTTTGTATTTATCTTAGCACTGAATTGAGAATGTCTAAACAAGACAACGTCTTTTTTCCCCTCGTAAAGCAAAATTTTTTTGCAATAGCCTGACAATGATAAAACTGACCACGGAGTTGATCACTTGCTCATCCATGTTACTGTTTGGAAGCTACAACTGGACCCACTGTAACCTTTTCTAAGGAAGCTGCTCCTACAAATAGCATGGGCTGACACTGTAAAATCAAAATAACTGGAATCAGATTAACATCTGTGCATTATAGAGGGGGGATACGTTATGGCAGAATGCATGTCCAGCCTGGTAGGACCAGTACTGTAATCGCTTTGTGTGTATGAAAAGGGCAATTTATTTGCAATGCAATATTAAATGATTATGATACTAATCCCCTTCCCCTTTAAGGAGGGGGATTCTGAACAGTTTCCAATAATATCTAAAGGCTATCACTTGCAATGGAAACATGGATTACAAGGACAAAATATTGTGCACAATGCCGCATTCATGTGTTTGCTGATCAACTGATTATTACTGTGATCTTGATTTTACAGTGTCGACTGCGTAGCTATTGGTAGGAGCATCTTCCTTAGAAAAGATTCATAAGGTCATAAGGTGACTCATTGCCTGTACGCATACCGATCAGGCTTACTGTCGCGCAAAGTATAAATAAACGTGGTCATTAGACATTTAATATTGTTTTTATTGTGGGCCTACAAAACCTCTCAGCCTCAGGGCCTGACGGCAGGTTAATGCAGGCCTGCAAACAGTAACACGGATGACCAAGTGATCGACTCCATGGTCAGTTATAACATCGTCAGACTATACACTGAATGTTTTTTATACTATTAAGTATTATTACTGTATTTTTAATTGTTTCCAACTGTATAAGCGGTGGACAGTATGTTACTGTACATTTTCAATGCATTCTGGGAAAATATTACTGTAAATCTAAATACAGTAATATTAACAGATCGCGAAAACCACCACAAACCTCCATTTTGAAATGATGGACTGTCATGGATTTGAGAATGTTTAGTTTGACACCAGATCTCAATTTTCCTTGCAGCTTTGACATCAGACTGTTCAGGACTGGATGCAATACGTTAGCGCTGATGTTTTATGTGACATTTTACACAGACTCTTCAGTTGTAGCTCTGAATGTGGTGAGTGCAGTTCACTTGTATAAGACCACATTTAACGTTACAAGAGGCTGTTTTGGGGGATTGCTGTGTCTGTCTGCTGACCCGGCAGCTGCTTCATAATTAATATCTGATAAGGGGTGAATCTTGAAACAAAAAATGCAGTAACATAACGTTAGTTAACTGAACTTTCTATGTTATTTAATGGAGCTGTAAGTTTGGTTTGGATGTAACGTTAACATTGCAAGATTGAGACTAAGATTGCAACCAGGCGTGCGCTCGTACGCGTGCTCGCTTGAACTCATGAGCAAATAGAATCCAAAACACAAATCACTTTCATAGAGAGATCTCGCAATAAACGCAGAAACACCTCACCTAACCTTATCCTCAGCCAGGATTTTACTAGTCTCTGTGGCCAGTTATAGCTTCTCCAAAGAAGGAAGTATTTTCAGAGAAATCCGTTTATACATTGATTGCCGACTGCCTACAACATTGTTAGACTATCAACTTTAAAACAGATCTATTTATATGTTTTAATATATACATCAGAATCCTGATTGTGGATTTCAGCTCAGCGTTCAACACAATCTCCCCTAAGAAACTGATAGGCAAATTCTGGG